TAGCAGAAGCGGAAACCTCTTCATAGCAGATTTGCCGAAGAGCGAACCTGGTCGTCAAATTCCTGTAGAGTTTACTGGGAGCCATAGGGGCTACAAAACAGGTAAATTTAAGCGTATGGTAGGCTGTGATCCTCACAAAGGCTGTTATGAAGCTTTTCTGCATGTTAAAAGTGGCATAGTCCAAAATGATCGCGCATAATGTAACTGACTTGATGCCGATTTAAGTGCAAGTGGACCTTAATGTGTTTACAGATTGACTTTATTGTAAATGTAATCTACATGTAAAGACACCTACCGATTTTTTCTCTCATTTTCAATTTTGACGGCGAGTTAATTGCAAAACTGCATTAAATGACGCCCAAATATCTGTGAACATTCGCAAGGCCTTGTTAATCTAGTCATACTAGCAACTTTTGTGTTAAAATTATTCCATATAGTAATGCAGAACTTTTCTGTTTTTGCAATTCATGACTACGTAAAATTCGAGAACTAGTTTTCATGAAGTGTTTTTGTCAGAGAACAAGAAAAAAACTTTGAGCTTGTAGGTTCCCTGTGTTTTAAACCCAGCTTCAAAACATTATTCAGCATGCCACTAGACTGATCACATGATTAAAATAATTTTCACTGTGGTTTAGAGGCAAATTAAATATACATTGAAAAGTTCAGTTTACCTCAAATTAAAATTGATTTTTTTATTTTCATGTTTCTAGTATTTTACATAGAAAAATCTTATAATTATGGGGCACATACCATAAGATATGACTTGGGTGGCAGCCATTACTACCTGTGTGTAGAAGGAAACAGGGTGTTTTTACAGGTGAGTTGTAATTTACCGTGGTTATGAAATTATTATCACTTTTCAACTGCAACTTCCCATAAACAAATTACTTACATAACAATTTAGCACAAAGATGGGCAAAAAGTAACTATTTGAATCTCTTTCTTGGTTTACATTCTTAGTTATTTTATGTGGGAAATGATTATTGTGGAATAACTTTGAATCATTTTGTAGTAATGACTTGCCCCCACCCTGACCAATAATGCAGCCTTGTGTTACTTGCAGTAAAGTTACAACTGTCTAGTTTAGGTTGTTAATAGGCCATTTTACAGTTTTGCACTAGGTCACCAAGCCTTTGATTTGAAGTGAGGCTGAAGGTGACCTTGTTGTGATAGAGACCAGTATCTAGTTAGTATTATAACAAAGTAATTTACATTTGAAAAGCAGCAAGGTTTGTATCATAGCAAGGTCACCCTTAGCCTCTCTCCTATTCAAAGGCTTGGCAACCAAGCATGCAACTGTAAAATGGACCATTCAGATCTGTATTTTTATTTTCAGTTGGGTGTCCATCAGCCTGATGAAATGAAATACATCTTTGAACTTCAACATGTCAACAAAGATAGTGATTACATGTCTATTAAGTCTAAATACACTGGGAGGTACCTTGCCAGTGATGAAGATGGAAAGGCATTTGTGGAGGAAGTCAAGCCTTCCTTAACGAAAGACAACCAGCCGACTGACAGACAAACATGGTTCCTTCTACACTTTGAGGAAACAGTGAAAAGAGAAAGAGAAAGTACATTTTACAGTTGTAACTTTGATAGCACAAGTATTGACTATTCTGTCACATGTCAGGCTCAAGTGGAAGCCTGTTAGGTGTAAATATGTTTCATTGTAAAAATACATGTACAGGAATAGAGAAGGAGAATTTTAAAATGTTTTTTCTTTTCATCCTGGGACGGTTTGTTCCATGTTTTATTTTATTTTTTTAATGTTTATTTTTTTGTAAATAGTTTGGATTTATTTCTTGCTCAGTGTATGTTCACTTCTTTCCAGCTTAATAGTTTTGATTGGTTTTTGATCCTTTGAAATGAAGGTGGGAAGGAAGTAAGTAATTCATGATTGTTAACTGGTGAAAGACACTGGAATAGATTCAAAATTTTTTTTTTGACAAAATATAAGATATTTCATGTAGCTTTACATTTTAAGAAACTTCTTTCATGTGTTATCAAGTATTACTTTGCATTTGACTTTAATATGTAGTTGTAATAACATGACATTAGTTAAGGAAATATTACCTATTAAAAATGTTCTAGGTAATATAAGTTGTAACTGGTACTGTGACCAGAATATGTATTTTACTGTATGAGTACCAATAAATTTCTAATAAAAGCATTATTAGTGGAGACTTCAGTCATTCTTGCTGTTGGTTTAAGACTAAGATAATGTACCTTGAGGAGAGGGAAAAAAATGAAACTAAATCATTGAAATCTATTTAATCACACCTTTGTTAAAACTACAGCATAAATACAAGCTGAAAAGTGCAGTATGCATGTGTGGAAATTGTAGAACCAAAACTGAAGCAATCATTATCCATCTGTAAGTATTGAAAGGAGTTGTTGAGAACTCAAAGTAACCAATTATTGTAACTGACTGCAAGTGAGGGAAACTCATTAAGTAACCAAGTGAAAGTGAATAATGATCTATAGGGATGAAGCTTCACAAAATGTTGTTACCTTAAGGCTGATTTTCACCATTTCATGATGGAAATGCAATCTGAGAAATAAATAGTGAAAACTAAAAATAGAAACTTCAAAGAGATTTTAGAAAGCTTGACCTGATAAAGGGTACATGAGTTACAAGGTTTTTGTTCCAAACTGATGAAAGAAAAACAGATGAAAGACATGGAGAATTGTTTGAAGGCTTCTTATACAATCAAACTCAACCTCTTATTACTTATTATTATTACAATAATTTTGGTTTAATCAGCTAAGTTGACAATGTAAATTGGCCACATAAAGAGTTTCAAAGCTGACACTTTGAGGGACAACACTGCCAAAGCGTTTGCTTTAAACACTGGCTCTGATGAAGGGCTAATGCTCGAAATGGAAGCTTTGAAACTCTTTGTGATGCTCAATTTACATTATCAACTGAGTTGATAAACCGAAATTGTCTGGTTATACTCCCTCGCCAGTGCAGCACCACAGTTTCTTTAGAAACTTACCCCTTCATTCTTCTTGCTTTGACTTGCAATTATCAACACTTGGGGCAGCCCTTAACTCTTTAACTCCTAGATCAAATTTTTAATTCCCCTTACTGTCAATCATACAATTCTTATAATATTAGTTCAGAGAACTTAGTATTGGATCAACTAATTACTCCCAAATTGATATTTTTCTTTATTTATATCTCTTGTCTGGTTGATATTGTAAGGAGAAATTCTGTCTTGGTCACTCATGGGAGTTAAAGGGTTAAATTAACAATATTGCACCATGCACTACCATGTAACATACTTTGTCATTATTGACTGATCCTCTCGTAAATTTGGATCCAGTCTGACACAATGCTGGGACTATTTTGTTGCCAACCTGGGAGCTGGATAAGATGAATGAATAAGGAATCTAGAGAGTAAAAGTAAATGAAATGGCATTCAAGTCCTCGAGAAAGAAGCAGGAAACGATGAAATGGTGAAAAAAAGTCTTTATCGTGCATTACTTGTGCTTTAATTTATTGAGTGGGTAATATAAATTGACCACCATAAATAGTTCTTAAAACTGAATTTTCAAGCGCTGGCCCATCATCAGGCCGTACAGAAATTGCACCCTAGGCATTTATTTCCAGGCCGACAAAAGATCACGATAAGTCACGTTCAAGTTGATCGATTGAATGCACACATTTGAGTACTTCATGAGAGGTGAAACTTCTTCCTTTACATAACGGGAACACTAAAACCAAATAACCAGTGAAAAAAAAACGCAAAAATGGACAAACCTCTTAGAAAGCCTCCTAGTAATCCGCCGCGGTATTGAGCCATAGACTGCGCCATGTTGTAAGCATCTCCTGCTCCATTAAGACATTTATACGGCATGTAACACGCAAGGAATTGTCTCGCTTTTCTTCAACTTTGTTTTTCGCGTAATGCACATCTGGTACTGGTTGTTCTAATTTCGGATAACGCTATCCACTGGATAAATCTCTATCCGGTAAGTAGCGCAGTACATTTTGTAAAGAGTTATCCGCTGGAGAGCAATTTATCCGTCGGACAGTGTTATACGCCCTTCTACAACTGGACCCTGCCGTTTTTTTCAGTAGTTCGTTTTGGGCCCTTTTTTACACAGACAGCTTACTGATTATTCATCAAGAAAATACTCCCCAAATACAACCATCAACGACAGAAATCCTAAATTCATACATTTTAATTTGTTATTTATTTATTAATTTTTCCTATGACCTGCATAATGTATATGCAAAAATTATGAAATTATGGTGGAAACACCAAACAGCAGCCACATTATGGTTATTTGAATAGTGCCAACGTACGATCAGATCACATCAGATTTATACCTTTACTAAAACAAACTTCCATTCTTTGAAAATTTTCACAAACTTTTGCCTAAAATGTGCCGATGCCTGAATAACTTACTCATAACTACATGGTTAGGGGTATAATAATGTTAGTTCCAAAATGTACAACAATGCAACAATTTTCAGTTTAATTGACTTGGCTTCCAGCAATTTCTCCTTGCACTACGTTCTCTTGTTTCTCTGGAGGATCAGATTTGCTGACAGTCCGGATTTTTTTGAGGGATTTATTACAATAGAGATGGAAAAAAAACAACAGGAAAAACTCATTAAAATAAGATAATGAATACTTTCGGAATCAAATTTTATTTCATAACCTATTTACATGGCCAAAGGCTCATTAGTGTTCCTAAAAGTGTTAGTCTGCAAATAAGTAAAACTTATACCAAACATTTTATTTAAAAAATTAATCCTTGTTACAACACCATTGTAGTTGTAGCAAGCTTTCTTCTGGCAAGACTGGGTTAAATATGCATTTTTGATACAACCATCAGGTAGAAGCCTAAATTAATGGTTTCTCTGTCTTTGTACACTTTCTCAAAAGCATACTTGTTCTGCAAGTGAGTTTTTTAATATTTGCAGTTCATCACCACAACAAGATAAATCACTCTTTCAAAAATTGTGATAATCTTTTACAATCAATTCTTGTTTCCAAAAACTTTACACAAATCATTTTCCATTAACATCACAGAAATCAAATTATCATTACAAACACCAGAATAAAGAACTTAGTATTCAATTTAGTAACAATGTACATGGCTAGTGTGCTCTTTCACTAGACACACCTCTTGTAAACAAGAAATCTTCTTACAATCAATTACAATTTAAACCTAAAATGGAGACATGTCAAACAGAATCATCTGCAAGAGAGAATGAAAACAAGTGTATTTAATAATTATATATAACATTTCACTCACTCCAAAATGTGAAAATAAATTTGGTCTGGAATTTAACTGATTCTGAACAACTATTTTTTGTGCTTGACCTTCATTCTCTGAATTCAGAATTCCTGGGAATTTTCTGTCCCATACACAATTTCTTTTGGTTTTAGTCTCCTGACTATACAGATTTGCCCCCTCCACTTGATAACCAAAATAACAATATACATATATTTGGGAAGAAAACAACTAATGTCAATAACATGAGCGGATAAAATAATCTGAAATAACACCAGGTGGGAAATTAAAACATCAATATGACTTAACTCTGTTCCCAATTTTTATCATGCCTGTATCAAATCTTTACCTAATAGTGAATGTTTAAATAATGCCAGAAACAAATTTTTTTAAGTGTACATCACAGAAACTTGTTGAAGCAATTGAGGTTCTAATTAAACAAACTTTAGCTCTAAAATGTGTTTAGCAAACTTACCATGATACCACCATCTTGTTTTCTTTGGACTTTTATGACATGTTTTAACATACCAATTATTATCAGGAGGAAGTTTCTAGAATGAGAATAAATAAAATAATTTAAGTTATACTGTCAAATGCCATGGTAAGCATTGTTATCACAGAAAATAATCATCTCCTTGAGTATAAATTAGCTTTTCCATATCAGCTAATGCAGTGTTCTCCCTTATTTTAAGCATGACAGGTGAACTAAATTTTCAAACTGGTAAAGCAATCCTTTTACAAGTTGAATTTTCAAGAATTCCAAGCAATTTTAAACGGTAATAAGAGGTACTACAGGTGGTAAATGTTACCAGTTACTGCCCGAAAAGGAGAACACTGTAATGGGACTTACTGATGACTGAGGGCAATTCAGCGGGCATCAGAGATCTATTTGCTCATGCCCCATGGCCAATGTCAACAAGCGACTATGAAAATCACAAAATATTGTACTGCGCAAAGTACACTTATATGAAATCAGTGATCCAGCAATAAACAGTTGAAAGCTTCATGGGAAGCTGTACACGATGTAGAAAGAAATGAAAAGGACGCATCCAAACAAGTCACTAGACACTTTAATCTCCCTTATTATTCTAAGCATCATATGGCAGTCTGTGGCCTTTCCCTAAATCTAGGCAGTTCAGAAAGCCACAAAACTCTAGAACAAATATTTATCTTTCAAATTAGCACTCTTAATCCCCAGGGTATCAATAATGATTATGAGTGGGAAAAATGAATTAAAAAAACATTTATACATGCTGCCTGGAAGAACAATTGAGCTTACCTTTTCTTGACAGCTACTTAGCATACTGACAATACTGAGACAGACAGATTCCACTGAGAGAGCTGGAGACCAGTCATCCGTCAAGATTGACAAGCATATATGTCCATTACTGTAAACGTGAGGATGGACAGGGATATTTGACCCTCCAAATATTACCTGCATCAAGAAAAAAAATTTTCCTTAGTGGCTGTGAAGGTGAGAGTTCTTTCCCTCCTGTTTGTATGATCTATTGCATGTAGCATAACCTTCAAATTCCTAAAACAAATGCTTTCTATTGATTGGTTCCTTTTAACCCTTTAACTCTCACAGGTGACCACAGCAGAATTTCTCCTTACAATATCAATACAATATCAAGCAGACAAGTAATGAGGTTAACAAAAAACATTAATCAGGAGATTATTAACTATTCCAATTTTTGCCCAATATTTGAATTACAAGGCAGACAGAAAGGAGAATTTCTATCGAGATCTTGGTATTTAAATGGTTAACCCTTTAACTCTCAGAAGTGATTAACATAAAACTTCTCCCTACAATATCCATACATTCTTCAGCAATCAGGTAATGAGAATATTCAAACTTGTCAAGTAGAAGCTGCTATCTTGATCTAGCACCAAGTTCTCATAACTAATTTACTAGGAAATGTGTAGCAGCTAAAGGGGAGAATTAACAATCAGATCTTGGGAGTTAAAGGGTTAAAGCACAGCAAAAGTAGTTGCACACTTTTTCCAGTTTTCATCCACATCTCCAAAATGCATATGCATTGCTTCAACGCTATTACCAAGAAGTTGGGTTAACAACACTCATTCAACTCCACACTTTTCAAAATGCAGATCTCAACAAGGTGAAACAGGAAAAATCATTTTTACCTCAGGTGACTCAAAAGGATATTTAGATCCAAATTTAAATTCTAGCTGAAATTTTTCCCCATCATATAATGTCCCTAAAAAGCAAAAATACAAACAATATTTAATAATTCCAGTAAATCTTTTACATAAATACATAAAAAACTTGAAACTAACTTTGTCCTGTGACTTTCTGTCTGTAGTAACTTGAGGGGCAAGTTTGTATTCATGATCAACTCTGTTTCATGAGGCAGGCTTCTTCCTTTCCAACTCTGTTTCATGAAGCAGGCTCCTTCCTTCCCAACACCCTAACTGATTTTTCTTTTCTGAATATCACAACCCACTGAATTTAAATATTGTAAACAAGACAAAACAACAACGATAGTCAACTTTTCACGAGCTAATAATACGAAGGTTTCCATAAACACAACTGAATAAAGACTACCACAGTGGCCACCGTCAAAATATCAAATTAATTTGAATTCCGCTGTGTTGGTTATTGAAATACTTAAGGATAAATCATATAACAAATTTGGTCTACCTGGAGCCCCTTCTACATGAATTATCCACCTGGAAAGAGAAAAATCGAACGAACATTTACTAAAAACGAAATTCACGGAAGTACAAACATTCCCATAAATCCGCCCAGTTAAGTTTAGCTTTCCTTGATTGATATTAAAGGCAGACAGCTTAAAACTTACGTAGCAAGATTTGAAGATACTGAATCGCTGTCAAGATACATTCCAGGTGGAGGTTTCGTTTTGATCTCTTTCAACTCCTTTTGCAATCTCCTCTGCCAGGCCGCCATTTTGATAAATTGTAATTTACACTGTTATGATTGCCTCGATATGGTCCTTATGCGCCAAAGGAATGAGTACGGTGTTAAATAGGCTCCACTCCACCGCAGATATGACGCAAAGATGACGTAACAGGTGGTTCCCCCTCTGAGTCATTGGACTAGTAAGGCAACTATGTCAAAACATTTAGCAGACAAATGACTCAACCGTGTTTAGGAAAATTACATCTTAGTTTAAAACTGTTCCATCATCAGAATAAAATATGCATACCCGCCAGCTCAAAGAAAATTTAAGGCACTCTGATGATACGGTCACAAGTACCGAAATATAACTATCAAACTTACTCTAGCTAGGCTTTCTGAAATATAAATATTTTGACGCAAAGAAATAATAAAGAAAAAGTACTTTGTTGTAGTAAATATTATAAGAACAGTTTCCCCTTGCACAATAAATTTGTTTAAATCATAGTTTAATCGAAATGCACCGACACAAGCCGTTTATAAATCGAATAGCGGTTTTCACAGGAAAAAACTCATAGTATTTATTACAATTTTAAAATACTTTGCTTGCGTTGAAAACCTCCTGCACGACTAGTTAAGGCAGACTCTATCACGGGTTTGAGTAAGGCCGGCACAACCATGAAATTTTTTCACTTTTCATTTTCTTGTTTTTTTACTAGAGAGTGGAGGTTGATTTACAAACGCGTGACTTTTTTCTATACTTAGATTAAAAGAAATAATTGGTGAAGAACGAGCAATTATAAAATAATTCAAATAGTATGCGCGCTCTGATTGGCCATAAAACCATTTTACATGAGCGTATGTAAACACGATTTTCGTTCCTCTTTCATTAGTTATTTTATAAAAGAAATGTAAAATGGTTTCCGTGTTTACATAGCCTGATGTAAACACGCGGGAGGTTGGGAGAACACGAGATAAGCTGGAAACCACTCCGCTTCGCGTCGTGGTTTCCTACGCTTATCTCGTGTTCTCCCAACCTCCCGCGTGTTTACATCAGGCTATGTAAACACGGAAACCATTTTACATTTCTTCAGCATAAATCAACAGTAAAAATTAACGTTTCTGTGCCATAGCATCATGGCACCATGTCATTTCCAAGCTTAAAATAAGAAAATACGATGAGCTGAATTTTACACGCGTTTTACTTCAGTATGATCTACCGGAGGACAGACACGAAGACGACGTCACCATCAACAAAATTTTGCGTTTTATCATATGAAACAAACAGACTCCGTGTTGTCGTGCGTCTGTACAGTGAAAGATCACAGAGGATGTCAAAATGCGATGAGGACATTAGTGACCTTCGCTGCGCCTCGGGTGCCACCTTTTTTGTTCCCACGACATTCTGACATCATCTCTGACCTATCACTGAACTAACGCACGGAATCCAGGGGGATAAGTTTCTAAAAAAAAGTGTGGTGCTGCATCTGCGGGACAGAACAACAGGGTCATCTAGAGAGCCTTGACGAAGGGCTAATGCTCGAAACGTCAGCTTTGAAACTCTTTACAGTGGCTGAATTACGTTATCAACACAGTTGATAATACTAAATTAGCATGGAATCTACTTTCGTTGAAGCTTTGAGCCGAAAAATCGCGTGACTGCATAATTATCTGGCTTATTTTCGGGGAATTATTTTAAAACGTCATTGGCTTGCATTAATTATTTTTCTTACGTGCGGATACGTGTTGGATTGAGTTTTACCAAAATCACACAACGTTTCGACATCATTTTCATAATATTTTCGACTAAAGGAAAGTAAATTTCTGGTTGATAAAAAGTAACAAACGAATGAACTAAAGATTGGAGAAATGGATGGCTGAACAAAAGAAGGAATCAGATTTATTCATCAGCGGCAATAATTTCAAAATAGAATTGTTACCAAAAAAGGGTCAAACATTTATAAATAAATACAGATAAAACCGTCAGTTTAAATAACCTTTTAAATTATAGTATACATCGTCAGTCAAACGGAAGTACTGAACACTTTTTTTAGCGTATTACCGTAACATACTTCATTTCATTACTAGAAAATGATATCGAAATGATACATGATGCGGCTAATTTTTGCAATTTTTAAAGGAAAAAAGAATTTTGATTATTGTAGAAAGTTTCTATTCGAGATAATTTCTCAGACTCATCAATTATGCGTGAGATAATTACCACTTGTGTGTCCTATTTGGGTCACATGTGTGCCCCTTCATACCCTGGTAACGAACAGTTGAGCAGATTTTAAAAAACTTGTGGATATCCGAAAAACGTGCGTGGACAAAGAAAGGTAGTTGTGGCTGAGGAGTACTTATTCGTCGAGATTCACTCGCTTGAAAGTTCGGGCGCCATAAGGACACGATGTCGTGAGTTGGTCGTTAATGGGTATGATCCAAGATCAGTTCCAAACCAATGACACCGACTTTGAAAAATCACATGAAATAAAACATGTCACTTCGTCGTGGGAGTAAGTACACGCCACCTGCATAGTTACGTGCGAAAGTATCCTGCACATGGTCTCGTGCGAAAGTATACTGCACTCAGTCACATGTGCAAGTTTGATCTACTCCATTTGTCGGTAAACCTGGATTACGCGGTATCGTATGTGAATTCTTTGGGAGCTGGAGCTGTTTTTTCGACTCTAAAACACAATTGGAGGGGAAAAAAATATTAAAAATTATTTTCAGCGCAAAGTTTACTGACCGTGCACATTATCTGTTGACATAGGGAAAACCGAAGCTCTTTTTCAACGCACTTACCCACTGGAACGAATTCGTTCTTTGTGACGCTTTTTCTTCAGTTTCCTCTTCTGATTCTTGGACAGTTTAGACGCCTGCTCTGATGATTTTGAAAGATCTGACCCAGTGCCACTCGCTGTATGCTCTCTGCATTTTTCATCCTTCGGTTCCCCTCTTTTCTTGGATACTGCGCTGAGACTCTCTGCAAATGAAAATAAAACATCTTCTACTGAAGTTGTGTAATTGGCATGAAAAAAAAATCACGCAACACTTTTTGATAAGTCAGATACAAAACTACAACCAAATGCAATTTTGTGAATAGAGGTTTCCCCAGACATTCAGCAGTTTGCTTATTTTGACCTTATATTTTCATTGCGTGTGGCTCCCTATTAAATTCATAGGGACTGGAACTAGACTGACTGTTCAGGCTAGTGCTTTGGTAATGACCTTAGAACAATTAACCGAAATGAGCTCTATTTCACTTACTGGGATTGAAGAAACATTACCGAGTTCGCTGGCTCGAAATGTACAGCATTTACTGCTTTCCCGTGAGAATCACTTTCTAAAGATAAAGTATTGGTATCGGTTGCTGTTTTGGCAAAGGGTTTATTCTTGGTCTAACATAAGGTTCTCTTTCAAAAGGGCCTTAACCTGGACAACAGAGGGCGTGAGGTAAATTACATCCTTTTTAATCTATAATCCTTCTCACTTGGCAAAAAAGGCACGGGATTTTCAACACCTAGTAGTCTTGAAGGGGAAGACGGCGTGGCTTGCTCATCTCGTGAGGAGACTTTGTGCGGTCGAGGAAAATTTATATCTAATGAGAAAAGACACAATTATTAATCACAAATATCTCATCAACCAGCCGGTATAGTTTATACCAAACGTCGTTAGCCCAATTGAAAAATTCTATATTACGTATTGTTTTTCCTTTGCTCATATAAACATTCTAGTCAATGGGTTATTTATCCTATCTTGCAAGCGCAAGCAGACCCTCGTTACTAGCGGTTCGGGACGAGTGTTTCCTCACCCGCGGAAAAGTACGCGGCCTTGAGCAACAAAAGCTGGGAAGAGATCTGCAAGTGTTCTGGAACTAATAATGAGGTGCCAGACCCCCGGCAAACTTTTCCCCAATTCGTCTAGCCTACGAGGGGAGGGAAATCTCAAATCTCAAATCGTCCCAAGGGCGGAGAAACGCGCGTCCTGCAGCGCTAATAAGCAATGAAGGCCTACTCACTCCCCGCTTCAACATAACCTGAGTTTCTGACCTGATTCCTTAAAAAATTCTTCATAAAAACAAAACAAACAACGACAGTAACAACGAAGACGATGATCTTATTACACAATCCAGTCAGATACGGAGAAAAACATCGACTCGGACAAAGCTACAACAAAGACGAGTTGCTAATCCCACATGTCAAACGCTACCTTCAGCCACACTCAGCTTTCGTTTCTCTCTTTCAGCGGATCTTTCTTGCGAGTCTTTATCTAATGTTCTGACGATGAATTGTGAATTCGTTTCCACGCCAGCGTCATCATCATTATCATCATCACTGGAATCTGACTCTACTTCTGAAGGGAACAACTTGGTTAGGACTTTCTGGCGAAAAACTGAGGAAAAAAAAACAGAATAAGTCAGGGTTGCTCTGATTTGTGCTGTTTGAATTTAAATTCAGTGACCCTGATGAATGTCCTTACTTCATAGGTAGAACAGAAATTGGAAAATGCCGCCTATATGGAGACAAAAGGTAAAATAGCTTTTTTAAACAAAAAAGGAAGAAAAAATGGTGTCAACAAGCACAGAAAGTGTTGACTTGCGAGCCAAGCTCCTCACTGGGAGTTTCCTGAACCAACATATAATTTCTCCTTACAGTATTTCTGCTGAATCATTCATTCAGGTAATGAGAATAAAGGAAATGACCTCCAACCTGAGAAGCTTTGATTGCTAAACGAATTCTCTTCGTCAGTGCTTAAGTAAATGCATAGAGAGTAGTATGGAGAATATGGATACTGATATCAGCGTGTAAAGGGTTAAAAAGAAGGACTCTGGAAAACTGGTATATCACGTTACAACTAACCAATTAATTTTAGCGCGATTCTATTGGCTGCTTTACGTCACGTGGTGCAAAACCATCGCACAGTTCTTATGCATAATAACACACTTCTAATTTTCACGCGATTCAAAAGCTCTCATTTGCTGTCGAAGTTCGCTTCTCGGCCAAATATCTTATTATTTTTCAGACAATGTCTCAGCCGCGGACATTATCGGCCAACATGGCAGCCACCTAAACGGGTTTATTTACTAAATAACATCAGTATGCATCGATGTTTGTCCGCCAATTATTTTTGTTGAAAAGAGCCTACCGAAAAAAAAGAAACAGCTCGACAGTTTCACTTTTTCATCCTTCTTACTTTACATCGAAGCACAACGAACTCGTTTTGAAGAGTCCAGTGTCAGTGGCATTAAAAGGCTCATCTCAAATGCTGCTCATTCAGCGCAAAGTTTACTGACCATGCACATTATCGGTTGACATAGGAAAAACCAAAGCTCACTCCCTTATTAATGGGAGGGTTATAAAAACAAGTAAATAAACCCCTTTCCGGCTTGCAGGTAAGGCGGCTGATAATGTCTTTGGCTGAGAGATTGTCCTCAAAATTCACATGTTATCCAGTCAATGGAATATGAGAATATTCAAATTCATTAGTTACTAGAAGTTGTTATATTAATCCAACACAAAATTCTCGTGACTAATTTATATTGGAAATGTGTCGCAGCGAGGGGAGAATTAACAATCAGATCTTAGGAGTTCAAAAGTTAACCCTTTAACTCCCAAGATCTCATTAGTAATTCTCCTTACTGTCTGCCAAATGATTCTCATTATGTTAGTTTGGAGAATTTGGTATCGGATCAATTAGTAATCTCATGATTGATATTTTCCTTTATTCTCATCACTTGTCTGAATGATATTGTTTAGATACAGTAAGGAGAAATTCTGTCTCGATCACTCACGGGAGTTAAAGGGTTAAAAAGAGCTAAAGCGTGTTTAAAGTATAATCACGTTATTACAATTCTGATTTACGCCTTCGATATTCTCACAATCAACGACAACCCTTTTCCAAACGAGGGATACTCCGCAACAGACAGCCAGCGACCCAGTCGTCGGGTCTAAAGCATTCAATCTACACTAAACACAATTCTTACATCGTTCCCTAGCTGATGTCATCCTTTCAGAAAAGCGGGCTGTTCTGTAATCTGGAAGTGAAGAAAGGTAACATAAACGATTCGAGCTTTGTTCTGCCAACTTCTAAATACTTTCAGCTAAGCTTAGCTCTTTCAGTCTAGTTTCCAGTAGAGCAGTTTTTCAACTGAATGTCGAGAGAGTTGAACAATAACGGCCAATCGGGGCAAAGGTTAACAACACCACAAGCCAATGAGTATTCAAAGAACGAACGATAAAGAGCACAGTACATGTACTAAGATTACCGTAGTTAAAATTTTACCAGAGCCTCTTTAGGGACTGGGGAAAGCCGGATCCGGCGTGGGAATGAAGGGGTGTGATATAACACGCCTTATAAATATAATTATTATTATTATTATTATTATTATTATTATTAACATTATTACTAACATTATCATTATTATTATTATCATCATCAACATAATTATTGACTTTTAGACTATTTATCGTTCACAAGTATTTGAAAGATTGAATTCTAAACAGTTGCTTTTTATGTTGATAATTTCACCAGTGAACGCTTATTTTGCCTTGGTTATGCAAGTTCTCCAGAGTTAGTATTCATTTTTGTACGTAAAGCACTATTTGTTTTCGTTCTATATACATCTGTAAATATTCTGACTGAGTTCTTAATAAAGAAACCACAACTTTTAGTTTGCAAGACATGTTTCGACATTCTTATGTCATCTTCAGTTGTAAATGCGATTTTAACGGTTGTACATTTGAATTTATATGAAATTACGTTACAAATTACGTCATATTGTTACGTTACAATTTGAATATTAAATACGAAAAAACGTGACATAGCACGCCCCAGATGGGGAAAGAAGGAGAAAAGAAAAATAATGATCATAATAAGAAAAATTATTATGATGACAGAATCAAAAGGAAAGAGACAACTCTAGATGCTTCAATTGCTGATTAAGGATGGGTTTGTCCCACTTAATATGCAATGCCTCTTTGATCTTAATTTTGTGTTTCGAAGCGGCAGAATCTAAAATGGTGAAACATTCTGTACCACAAGAGTCGAGACAGGCCTTTGATGATTGTAGGTGCTTGTAAATGTGTGAAGTTTTGTCAGACAAGAGGTGCTCACGAACCCGTGTACAGATGTGGCGAGTGGTCTCACCAATATAACTGGCATTACAGCCACAGAGTTGTGAATAAAGATCATTACTATCTTCAAAAAAAATTTATCATAATTATTACTATTATTATTATTATTATTATTATTATTATCCTTATCATTACTATTTTTGATCGGTAGAACTTGTTCGTTGTTTATAAAAGATGCTAATGCCATTAAGTAACACTGTCAACATACATGAGGTTTAAAGAAACCAAAGATTTTTTTTTTAGAAAAAGAGTTTCATTCTTAGGTGAGTTGACATAGATTTTGTTTCACAGTGCGTCAGCCGACAATTCGCTGTCTACTATCGAGGTTTTCTTTTTTAATTTTTTTTTAAGTCGCTGTCAAACGGGCGTGAGAGACCACAGACGTTGTCGAAAGGAGGACTAAGAGTCCAGCTGTCATATTTCCGTTTTAAAAATAGACAGCTCGGTTTTACACCCCATAGTTTTCGGCTTTGTTAGAGATTTTTTCGGTCAAAACTTTTTTCCGATAAATGCTTTTTGTCTATATCAAATGAGAGACTAATTTCAATGATACATATTTGTAAATATCCAAAACAATTAAAATGGCGGAGTCTCCCATAATCAACGGTCAAGACCGTAAAACTACGTAAGTGTCTGCTCCCGGCGTTTGTAAAATTAACGAAATAGTGATTCCGAGACTTCTCTTTTACAAAACACTGAGCGAAAAGTATTTCAAAATACTTTGATGAATCGTGACGTGTGGAAGAATTGTTTTGTTGTTAAGGCATGGGTTGGAACCAGGCTTAAATGAAAATACATGCACGACTTTCAATGAGCAAATAGTTCTGAATTTTAGCGAGCAAAAGAGCTGTATGATTTGGATCGTAGAGTGGTGTTCTGAAATTTTGCTCTACGCAAAATCACAGGGGTTTGGAGAGGTTTAGAATATGCTGGTTCCCAGCCCTCTACTGACTATTGTAAGGAGGTTTTGAAGTCTGACAAGTTTACTTCCAAAGAAAGCTACGTATCCTTTTCACCACATGTAATAATTTCCCATAATAGGAGCGTTTAATTTCCTTCTTGGCTATCGAAGAGGATTGTTAAAGCCCGGGTCACTAAATAGTACAAAATAAACAAAATCCATTAATGAAAAATAAGAGATTGTATTGACTGGACTAGAATTATTCTGAAGATCACTTTTCACAACGATGCATGTCCTACACTACACCAGACCTGCCTCAGAGGCTCTTTAATTACACGTGGAATTATACACTTTCACCTGTCAAATCAGGTCACGTTTTCTCTTTCAGCAAAGCTGAAGAAATTCAATAGCTCGCCCAATTTTTTTTTATTTTTTGTCAACGAGCTAACAGGAACTTTTCGTGACATACAGGTATCAAGAAAGTGTGGTTCGGGCAAGGAAAGATCTGGAAAGCTAATTGGAACACTTAACATCAAATTAGCCACGAAAATGCGTTCAACCCATTAAGAAATTAGCGTTCGATAAGACTGTAAGAAATTCGAAAAATCTGATAATTTACAAAAGGTCATAGTTGAAACTTTATAGAATTGTTTCCCATGGCATTCCAAAAAAAAAATAATAAAACACGCTATTCAATACAATACCAGAACTAAAATTAAGTTCATTCTAGTTTTTGGTTTCTGTTCATCAGTCATGTGGAAATTTGGCCTGTTCGCAATGGCTAACAACGACAACACGTGAATAACTGAGAAGCAGCTGACCCCTGCAGGACTCCAAAAAAAATGAAATAAACATTGAAACTGGAGCACTGCTCAACTTTCGATTTCGACCTGAGAGCATAAAACTGAAATTGAAATAAATGAAAATCAGTCCGCTTGGGCAATATCGAAAATGGTCTCACGACCCCTTGGTCCAAAATAACTGATACAGGACGTGCAAATATTAGACCCAAAGACGAAAAAGACATCTGCCAAAAATAGATAACGTCTGTGTCACGCAAAAAAAAAAGTCAACTTAGCACTTGAAGAGGTTGTTAGCGTGCATGAATTCAAGTGAAACTTGCGTGAGAACTTCGAATTTGGGAGGTACTAGGGAAGTGTAGTTTCAACACGCACGACTTATCAAACTGTAATCTTCCTTTCCGGGAAATAAGGGGCACGAAATGCAAGAATGAAATACACGACTCCGTTCCTCCATGAAAAAAAAAACATAAAAAGCGGCAGGAAACCTGTTGCTTTAAGGAAAAAAATCGACAAATTCTCGGTACAGTGTTACTGAAAAGCGTTGTGACTTCTGAGCTAATTTTAAGTCCCAAGAGATGTTTCGAGAAAGAGTGCATGTATCACAACTGTAAATGAAGCCGGCAAATTGTCATTTACAACGATTTCATGTCAATCAGGAGCCGATAGCTTGAATGAAGAACAATCTCAGCCAATGAAATCGCATTCTTTAATGGTTGCCACGCGAGCAAAGGCTCGAGTCATCTCCATTCAACAATTAACATCCATCTGCGGTTGAAATGCAAAATAGGTTGTCATGCAAGGTTAACCTCAGTGGAAAAAGCTCACCTATGGCAAAAAGTAGTAGTAATAATAATAATAATATAGTCGATCACCAGCTTAGACGCCAAAATAAAATTCTCAGGAATTAAAATCGGCCTAAAAACAGAAAGTAAGGCGGTAGGTTGCTCAACTTATGCTGGTGGTGACTTTCGTGAGTCGACGCCGCATTTCGCTGCGCTAAGAGATTAGTGTCAATACTACGTTTACGCTCTGTCGCATTAATTGCTATGCAAATTTTCGCAGCTCCACGCACACCTTGGAAAGCTACCGTGCATTGTGACAAAATAACAAAAAAAAAACAGGCAGCCTCTGAAAAATTGTACCGTAGAGTAAACAACCACTTTTCCAATCACAGGATCCAATCTCGTGAAAATTTCTACATTTTTCAGAGCGGCTGTTCAAGTTTGTGCGCAATAAATGAACCTCGTGGGGTAACAGGCAAGACTACTGCTCATTGGTTATGCTTGGTTGCTTCGCACGCTGTGATTGGCTGAAGTTCATTTCAATCCTAAAATTCACACCTGAGAAAAGCTTTGCGCGTGGCTTATTAGTAGTCCTTAGAAAAGCATTTGTTTCAGTACGTATCCGGCTCGCGCACGGGAGCACAACAAAGGGAGTACATATTGAGAAACTTCGCCAGCTTTGGCCAAAATCAACCTCCAGTAGATATCAAAAGGGCAGTAATTGTCAATCGGCGAAAGGTAACGCTAAGAAAGTCACACTTGCCAGTTTGCAGACGGTTGTTTTCATTTCACTTTCGAGTCATGGTGCTGCATGAAGTTGAGAGAACGTTGTGTGAGTGCTGCAACAGGCTTCGAAGACGAGAAATGGTTCATCATACCATACACAGTGGAAATTTCGAGCCATCCGAGCTTAAGATCGGAAGACTCTTGGGCAGCGGTGGCTTTGGATCCGTTTACGAGGCGACATATTGTGGGGAGCGAATAGCTATAAAAAAGCTTCATCAGGGAACAAAGAATGAGAGGGCCGCACTGGAAAGTTTCGAGGCTGAAAGCTCCATTCTACATTTCAGACATCCGAACATTGTGCGAACGCTTGCAGTATTGACCATAATGGAGATTCGTTGCATAATAATGGAGTTTGCCGGCGAGAGAAACTTGCAAAGCGTCATAAACGATCCATTTGAGGAGTTGGATGCTAATCGACGCAGAAAATTCTCTTTGAATATTGCAACTGCTTTACAATTTGCCCACCAGCAAGGGCTAGCACATCTAGACTTAAAACCGGGAAATGTGCTCGTCACCGCCGAAGATCAATGCAAACTGGCTGATTTTGGGTGCTGCCGCGCCGTTGAGGAAAACAATAAGCCAGCCAGCCCGACAAAATCGAACTTGACTGGAACATATGCTTACAGGGC